GAGGAGGAGGAGGAGGAGGAGGAGGAGGAGAAGGAGGAGGAGGGGGGGAGAAGAAGAAGGAAGAGAACGCGAGGGGGAGGAGGAGAGGAGAAGCAGCAGGGGGAGGGGAGGTCTAGATACGACGACTCTGACTTACTACAAGTAGGGGCCCAGATTGAGTTCAACCCATCTAGTTATGACTGTGACAATAAAATAACCCAAAAAATAGGCCGGGGCCATTTTCAACGGACAGCTTTAGGAACTAAATAATCAAAGGCTTCGCTCCGTGCTCTACAAACACTTTAACACATTGCCTAGAGACGAATAATTAATAAAAAGAAGTCAACTCTGATGTATTGGTTGGACTTTTTGGGGAGGAGATCTGTCCACATACCACAGTTTGGTGTGTTTACTTTAGTCGAACTCCTTTGGATCAGAGTGTAACTCTTTTGTGAATGTGCACATAGTTTTAAAGTAGCGAAGTGCGCTTGCGGGGATACCAGAGTTTTCCTGTATTTACTTTAGTCAAAGCTTTGGGATTACAGCGTACAACAAGCGTTATTCTGTTCTGAAAGCGCGCGCAGTTTGGAGCGACAAACTTTTTCATGTCCGGGTCGAAAGAACTGCCTTGTCCACAAAACACCCACACACGTTTCGCTACCTTAGAACTACAAAGTTTTATCTGACACTGTTGGCCGTTCTGAGTTCCTAAGACCGAGGTCAGAAACCTTAAGGTTCTATCTGCTCCATCAAAAGCGCAAGATTATTCGGAACTGCTATCAAGACATTCAAAGAATTGCATTCGAAAGAGCTTAAATTGTGAAACTTTGCAGTACCATAAGTGACCATCTTTGTACAGTGTATAAAATGATAAGGTAAAGTACGATTTGTTTAGAAATGGGGTGTGGTGAAATATTATAGACCTTGTATTCTCAACAAGGCAAAAGATAACGAGTTATGATCTCCGCCTGAAAATTTATTTGAGTTTCTTACGAAGATAAAAGCCGAAAAGCAAGAATCAACGAACGCAAGACCTAATTCAAATATATGATGTGTTATCAAAGTGATACATCTGCGTCATCTAAGACTGTGTACTATACGATAGACCCATAGCTTTAATTTGAGGTACCAGAGAGTCTATGAGGTACCCAAAAAATGTTCGGAAAAGCACTGGGGACGTCATCAATATATCATTGTGTGTAGACAGCAAAGAACTTTTGTTTGGAGAGGGAACCATTTTTGTAGAAGCTTGTACAATTGAGATGACAGA